CTGTGACTGACCACACTGTCACTGCACTGGACTACACTGTGACTGACCACACGGTCACTGCACTGGACTGACCACACTGTCACTGCACTGGACTGACCACACGGTCACTGTACTGGGAGGGAGTGTGATTGAGGATGGCCGAGATTCTCTTTCAATGTGTCCACGCTGCTAGGAAGAAAAGCAGGCGGCGAGGAGCGCACTGGATGATGTATTGTATGTATTAAATATTTGCTCAAGGCTTCCTCGCAGGACTGTGCCAAAACCACAGAGCAGGCGAGCCGGAGAGAGAGGGAGGATGGAGGGAGAGAGAGAGAGAGGGAGGCAGAGGGGCCCGCTACACGGCAACGTCACCGCTGTTACAGCACCCTCCCTCCGGCGCGCCCTCCCTCTCGCTCAGTCGGTCTCTGCTCCCGCAACGCGTCGCGCACCGGAACCGCGAGCTGCTCTTCGGGGACACAGCGAGGACCGCGAGGAGGGGCCTGGGGGTCTCGCTCCGCTCTCAGCCGCATCGCGTGACCAGCCGGCGGGCCCGCGTGGGGCGAGCCCGGAGACTAGCGGACTTCTCTCGGCGTCTCGGGGGGTGGGGAGGAGAGAGAGGAGGAGGAGGAGAGCTGAAGTGAACGAGGGCAAAACCACCGGAAACGGCGAAACAGAAAAAAACAGACTGAGATTCCGGAGAGAGGGGCAAAGTCCTGCCCGCCGCTGCGTGCTCAATTCCCGAGCCGAACCCGCCGGATTGGACCGGAACATGACCGTGCGCGGCCGAGGGCCTGTGGTGGATCTTCAGTCCCCGACGTACTGACCGCCCCCCCCCTTCCGCCGCCCCGTGAAAGCCGCCTCGCGAGCTCGCCTTCCTGCTGGCTCTCCTCCGCGCGGAAGCCGACACGTGAGTACGGCGGTGCCATCTTCCTCCCTGGCTCACGCGCAGCGGGTCCGACCCCGGGCCGGCTCGCGCACACGCACCCGCACCCGCGCGAGCCGGCGCGAGCGCTCGGAGCACGCCTTGTTGTTGTTGTTGTTGTCGAGGGTCGGCTGTTCCGCTGTTCCGCCCGGCGCCCTGAGGTAACGGCGCTGCCTGTGAGAGCCGGAGGGGTCGTGCGTGGGCACGGAAGGGCTGTTTCACTCGTCATCCGGGCGTCTCGGGTCGCGCCGGTGCCCGGTGGGCAGTCACGGGGCGTGGGCAGCTGCGTTCACTCTCGGCTGTGTAAGGTCACGGACGTGCGAGACGTGGGCGCAAGAGCAGGTCCGTGTGCGGGCTCTCCCGGGAGCAAACCCCCGCCAGACGCGTGTCCAGCCCCGGCTGGAGGCTGCAGCGAGGACGCCGGGGTGTCTGTGTGCCCCCGACCCCCGGGGAGTAGCGGGGATCCCCTGGGTGTCTCCGCGAGCCCGGGCCCCCGTCACTAGAGGAGAGACGGGAGCCGTGACGTGTAGCTCACCAGACACGGGGCTGTCCCTCTCCTTCAAGCCGGCACGAAGCGTCCCTTTGGGGGGGGGCTCTCCCGGCAGCGAAGCGGGGTCCCCCTCACGCCCCTGAATCCAGAGGAACCCCCCTCCCTCCCTCCCTCCGGTTAGCGGGCGGGTCCGCTATGCTGTATCCCGGGCCAGCAGAGGGAGGTGAGCCCTGCGGGGGCCTCCGGTCTCTCGGCTTGAAAGACTGGTTTCTAGGCCAACAAGCGGCTCGTAGCTGCGCTCTCGCCCTGGCGGCGTTTCTTACTGTGTAGCCGCAGGGTCTCCTTGTGATTCAGTGATGCAGTGAACAGTGAGATAGTGAGACAGATACAGTGAAACAGTGAGATAGTGAGACAGATACAGTGAAACAGTGAGATAGTGATACAGATGCAGTGAGACAGTGAAACAGTGAGATAGTGATATAGGTGCAGTGAAACAGTGAGATAGTGATACAGATGCAGTGAAACAGTGAGATAGGTGCAGTGAAACAGTGAGACAGTGATACAGATGCAGTGAAACAGTGAGACAGTGATACAGATGCAGTGAAACAGATGCAGTGAGATAGTGAGACAGATGCAGTGAAACAGTGAAATAGTGAGATAGTGAGACAGATGCAGTGAAATAGTGAGACAGTGATACAGATGCAGTGAGATAGTGAGGCAGTGATACAGATGCAGTGAGACAGATGCAGTGAAACAGTCCCAATAATGCTCCATCTGTCTGCAGCATATGTAAATATTGTATGATATGTCTTTGTTGTAAAATGTCTGTAGATTTTATATTATTGTTATTTTTTGTTTTGTT